TCAGGTTGCTATTGACAACAATTACAGTTATTCTATTTACGGTCATTTGACCGTACCAGGCATTGCCTCTGAACACTCCAGCCCACAGTGAAAACTCAAGTTACCAGAGACATGGAGGCTCTTGCTTTTCTGTTACTGTCACTTACCAATGCAAAAAAAACCCAAAACCAAAAAACAAACCCAAAACCCAAGTCAGACAATGAACTGCTACAGCAAAGCATCACTGGTAATATTCATCTAATACCAGGAAAAAAAAAAAGAGCACTCATGACACTACATGTCATAGTAAGCAAGTTTTGTTTTTTTTTTAAAGATACTGCTAAGTGATTTGCCCGGTAAAATTTTAAAATGTACACTGTGCTCAATAGTTCAAACTACACGTAAACAAAGAGCAGCTCCCTGCAACAAGGTGTAAATCAAAACGTGATAGCACCAGCTCCCAGCACCAAGGAGTTGCCCACTGACCAGTTCGAGTGTACAATGCAATAGTGCTCGCTGAGGTTTCTGCTACACGAGAGCCAGGGTGGGACAGCTCTGCCCCTTTCTTGCTGACATTTTCTTGCCAGGTGTGCACAAATGACAGTTCTCCCTTCCCACAGAGAGCAAGTCAGACGAGACTGTTACAGTACAGAAAACACTGAATGGGAAATGGCACCTGAGAGACAAGTAGGTACTGCATACCTGATTGTGAATAAACAAGCAATCCTCTCCCCAACAGGTCAAATCTGAAAGGAGCCGCAGACTGTGAGAAAAGAAACAAGCCTTCCTGTGCTGAAAGCCATGGACGTGATATTGCCCACGCCAATGATTTTATTTCACCATCAGCAAAGCATTTATCCCCAAAAAGCTGTACACGTACTGGTCAGATCAGGGTGCAGTGCTAACTTCACACTATTAAAAGTCTGTTGCTATAGTGGTCAGGTTTGTCTTTTTATCTGAGGGCAAAAAAAGGAGACAGGCAGCATGGCCACATCATCATATAGCAATTTTACTCCACATTAACGCAGATATAATCTTTCTTCTTAAGTGCAAATTAAAAAGTATTTGCTAGGAACCAGCATGACTTGGGCTGCTGAGTAATGACAGATGATTCCATTTCTTACAAATATCGACAAGTCTAAATCATTACAGGTTTCCAAAGCAAGAACAGGGTTACCAACAGGAAGGGAATAAAACATTACCACTATTAAAAAAACGTGTCATTGCAAACTTTGAACACTCTTCAAAAACATATCTAGAAAAGATTATTTTCCTTTTTTTTTTTCCTTTTTTTTTTTTTTTTTTTTCCTGCAGCTGAGGAGTGTCCATGCAAAACAATTTTGAGAAGAGCAGTGTTCCACCTGGGCACCAACTAGGCCCAAACTTTGCCCCACACAGCTCAGTAAAGTGCTCTCTCGTGCATCCTTTGAGGAAGTAAGTTCTCATTTAACATTTGGGAGGCCGAGGTTTCTAGCTGGGGAAGGCATAGTCTCGGTCAATCCATGCTGAGGTCAGAGAAGGAGGAAGGAGCAAAGTTAACAGTACTCTGCCTTTCATAACCCACAGACAACAGGCTGCAAGGGAGGAGCAGGCAGGAGAAGCAGAGGTGGATGTCAGATGAAAACCTGCCCCTGGGAAGCCACAGGAGTTTAACTCGGGTTTCCTCAGGGGAAGCATTTCATTCCTTACAGGTAACAAACACTAGCTCTGCTGCAGAGTCCCAAAGATTTACTGTTTAGACACCAGGTAACAGATCTCCACGCACGACATAAGTGAAAATCAAATATGCTTCTCACTTCCTGCGCTGGTGGTTTTTCAACAGTTCCTTTGAAGGACAAAGAGGATGCGAGTAACATTCTTTTGCTGATTTAAAGAAAAATTAAAAAAAAAAAGCATCTTGCCCTCAACATTTTTTATGTTGCACACTTTAAACATTCTAGGGCAGATCGTTAGAGGTATTTACTGATAAAACTACTAACCATCAGCTTAAAAGAGTAAAAATAACATTAACGGGGAAAAGAACTTAAGGCATTTTTTATTTTGGCCAGGAATGATGCATGCTACAGAGTAATCTTCATTTTCCCACTTGGTTTTCAGACCACTGCACTTTTTTGTTTTGTTTTGTTTTACATGGCACTTTATAGTTTGTGTTTTACAACTCAGTTGAGATTTTCAAGTGTTTTCTTCAATATAAATGCCTTCTCCTGTAGCTCAGGTCTGCTATCTGACGCCATCGTCGACAATGAACGAATGAGGTGCTCTCTGCTTTCTGGTGTCAGGCTTTCCCACTGTTGAGCTTCTGTGTAGATAAATACAGACAGACACTGGACATGAATACCAGAATGCCCAAAAAAAACCCCCAACAGGCCACCTCCATGCCCAGAGAAGCTGAAAGAGCGACTGCTCCAACACTGCACTCGCAGCCTGTACTGCTCTTCCAGGAGAAGACTACTGAGGAGGCAAACTCAGAGGGACACTCGGGTGCGTGTCCTGCTGCCTCCTGCCTAGGGAGTCATGCCCATTTAGACTAGGCTTGGTTGTCTAAGCCTGCAACATGTGAAAACCAGGGCCTGAAGAACCAAATGTTTCCCACTGCACAATTACTTCATGTCATATAAGAAGATTTTTGCTAGAATGAAGGGAATACCAAGTGCATAACAGAAATCCAAAGGAAACATTTGCCACAGAACAACTGCAGACATGTATGACCTGAAGACTTAAACAGACTCTTTCTTGGAAGTAAATTCTCCTAGGCTTAAATGCTAAATTAACAATGAGGAACTAAACTTGGCCCTGAAATGGCAAAATTACCCTTCTGCACAAACAGGTCTTTCCTCTTTGGAGCCTGCACACAACCCAGAACCTGATTACACACTCACTCCTGGGTGCTCTCCCTGGGACCCTCCTTGCTGGACATTTTCCTCACCCAAGGAGTGTCCTATACTTTAGACCATCACTTTATCTACAGTTACTTCAAGCCCTCTCCAAGTTTCCCAAGTCACCAAGCACAGAATTCCAAGTCCCAACCGCCCCAAAGTCACCCAGTGCTGCAAGCAGAAGGTAATGCCATCTCTCCGGGGTTCCAGACCACACAGCCAGGTGCTTTGCCGAACAGTGGCTCTCCCAGGTGGCAAGCAAAAAGTCTCACCTTGCAGTTTGTCGAGCAGCAGTTGTATTACAGACAAAGCTTCTGTTCTTATGGACGTGTAGCTTTTGTTCTCTAAGGGATTTAAAAGACAAACAAAAAACTCCACAACCACATTGAGAACCAAAGGCACACTAACTGTACAAAGAGCAGGCACCACCTCTGCAGCACACCTCACTGAGCTCATTCGTGCTGGCAGTCTGCAGTGCCCCCCAGTCAGACACATTCAATAGTGACAGAAAGTGACCAACTAGAGGGTGACAGGTCAACTAAACCTCCTGCACTGCTATCAGCACAGTGCTGCTGTTGCTCACACGTGCTGAAAGGGAACAACGCTGGCGTAGCTCCGATGTGATCACAGACAACTTCTCTGTGTAAGACTGTTCTTTTGGCGAGTTGTAATGGCTGTAAACCACTGAAATTTTAACAAGTAGCATTAGGTGAGGGCACATAAACCCTATGCCACCAAACACAAGCTTGTCACAGAAAGTAATGTGGTCTCCTGAGCTAAAATCTTACTGAAGTCTCATTCCAGGAGGACTGAACTTTCCCCAGAGGGGTCTCTGGATTGGTAGCTAGCTCTAAAGTAGGTCCTGCCTTTAGGCATACCAGAAAAAAGAGCCACATGTGGGTATGAGGAGACTTGGGGCACTGTTAAGAGTCACAGGACAAGTGGGAACACTACCAAAGTAATGAACAGCCCCATGACTGTCAACATTACACAGGTAGCACTTATATCCCCTTGGGCGCTCTGCTCAGAGAGAGCACCAACTGCCTCAAAGCCTTGGAGCTTCATGCACTGGCTGTCTGAGAAAATCTTAGGTCTCTCCAATGCACATCTACCCAAAAGCTCTGAACTGTGGACGAAAAAAACGTGTGTACCATTAAATCAGTAATAGCTTGATTAGGTGGGGTCCATCCTCCTAAGGAGGAAATTACTGCGTTTCTGATTTGCACTCCTGAAAGGTTTTGCAGAGTCTGCTGTCTGCTTCACCTTCCCCTTTCAAAGCTCTCTTGCACCAGAGGAATTCACTTCTCTGTACACAGCACCCTGCAGAGTACTGTCTTGAACAGCTACTGCAACATCAGAATTATCACAACACAGTGGAAGGAAGGGCAAAATGTTATCTCTGACAGCTTCTGCTTAATCTGCTGTTTCTACCAGCCAACCCCCAGAGGAGGAATGTATTAAAAAGCAATTAATCATTGACCACAAACCAGGAAAAGTCTGTTTACCTAAAGAATGGGTGATAGATGAGCAGGTTTCCCACAGTATTTCTGTCAAAGCCACAGGGTCTGAGTGCTCCTCATCAAACAGCATTAGTCTGTCAAATGCAAAAACACCGTCAGACACCCTGCATCACTGGGACAGAAGTCTGCTTGACTTCCTGCAAGAATCCAGTGTCATCCTCAATTTCATTAAACTGTTTAAAGCAACAAAGAAAAGAAACATCATCCAAGTGGAATGCAGAAAGGAGAATTACCCTTGGAAGTAGGCATTCATGGCTTGCAGCACTGCCAGCTGCACCTTCCATGTGCTGAGTTTCAGACGGTCACACATTAACTTGCAAAACTCTTGGCGATAGCAACCTACAGAAAAATAAGGATGTCACTGTGTTAACCACAGGGAAAACAGAAGGAAACACTTCCTGCTCTGTCTCCCAGGTCTTCCTTGTGCTCCTCCCCAAGTGACATCAAGCTAGTCACTGCATACGACCAACTCAACATCCTGTAACAAGGGACCCTGAAAGTCTTCACACCAACACCCTCATTAACAAACACCCGAAGATAAACAGCGACCTGGGTTGGTTTTTTTTTCAGCTACAGCCAGTTCCTCCATGTTGCACCAGCTTTGATGCAAACATTAATGTGAACAGCAGGACTAGGCTGCTTTTGATCAGGCAAGCCACCTCAGGCACGTCTCCACAAACTCAGAACAGTTCAGTGAAGTGAATTTTAGGTAACAGTAAGGGCATTTCCCCAAGGATGGGCTTCTCTGTGGGAAAGCTGTTGGGGCAGTTTTATCACTGAAGACCTTGCAAGCTGCAGGCAGTGAGATCCTGCACCTCCTCAAAAGCCTCGCCACTCCCTACTCCAGGTCCCCCCCCTCATTCCCCTTTTCATTTTAACAGGAAAGAGTTCAAGCAGAGAAAGTTCCACTCTGCACACCGTTAGCTGACTTACGCTGTGTCTCTGGGCTCCTCGGCCAGGCTTTGCTCAGGGTCTCGAAGGCGCAGATCAGGGATTCCATCTGCACCTCTTTCTCCCTCATGTCCTCATCCTCTTCGTCATGCTTTGGCAAATCTGTGCCCATGCTCTCAAGAGAGTTCTGTGGAGGCCATGGGGGGAAGGTATGATCGACAGAAGGATGAGGGCAGGCTAGCCACACACTTCAGTGCCATTCAGTCTTCCCTTGCAGTCTGTGCACACCAGTCCTTGTACCCAGTCAGTGCCTCCATACAGATGGAGCACAGGCCCCCCTGGCCACCGGTAGCTCTGGGACTAGTAGCAACCTGCAGAAGTGCACAGCAGGCTCTGTGGCCTCGCATCCAAGCATCTCCCTGTGCTATACAGAGCTGCTAAGCAATGCAGGCACTGAACAGAAGAGGTCTACACAGCTTCCTAGGAGTCTCTTGCTGCCTGTAGAACAGCCAGGAATTAACTCTTAATGCTGTGCTGGGGCAGTGTTGGACACCACAGCAAGGACTATGCCTAGAGAACAGCTGGACTAATTCAGAATTTGGGCAGCACAGGTATAACCCCCCCAGGGCTCGCCCACAGCCTGGTATTCAGTTCCAGCAAGGATCTGGCTGAGTGTGGGGTATTCCTCACACCAGCAGCTTTCTGGGCAGAAGCCTGGTGCGTACATAACAGCATCAGCCGGACTGCCACCACTTGGGCATTTTGTTTTGAAAGAGGGAAAACTCAGGAAGCTGAACTGTCACCTTCTTTATCATGGGAAAGACGATATCTGCCAGCTCCTGGAAGCGGTCCTCCTTTGTAGCCTGCAACACCCCAGCCGCACAGCGCAGTGCCACCATCTTGTACGCCAGGTTCTCTTTCCGACCCTCTTTCAGGACAGCCTGGACAATATCATCGACGGTGGGTTGGCCAGGCACTGACTTCTGCAGCTCTGCACTGAAACAAGGCACGCAGAAACTATCAGATCCACGCTAATCCCTTCCCAAACACCACCCTTCCCACGGATAGGAAGCAATTCCTGTGTCCAGGCACACGGCTGCCTACCAACAGTTGTAACCGAGGTTATGCTCTGTGCCCTTCTTCACTCTTACCCTGCCTTCCTGTTTGTCTTTCCTCACATGCTTCCAATACACCTTCCTCCCTCACTCTTCTATCTCTTCCTCTCTTTTCCCCTTTACGGTGTTCATCTCTTCCCTAAGTCTCTTCTTTCTTCTTAGCAATTGTGGCCTCTCAACATCCTTTTCCTTGTCCTAAATCAACCATTTACCCCCGCGGGTCCCTCTGAAGCAACACTCGTCCCTCCCAGCTCTCACAAGTGACCCACACATTGACAAGAAGAGTGAAGAGAGACTCCACACATGCTGATGGGAGATCAGGATGGCGTTTGCAACTTTCTAGAGTCTTCTTAGCACCAGACAGACAGCAACCCTGTCCAACAAACTCCTTTTTCAGATCCCAGATCTTGGGGTTACCACCTCTTTCAAGACACTTACTTGCAGGCAGAGACGACACTGGCAATGGCCTTTAACAGCTCCTCCTGCAATGAGTAAAACAGATACCACTGAGAAATACCACACAGCCAAATGGCACAACCCTGCTGCACAGCAGAAACCCTTGTACTCTGCTGTGAGAGGCAGCAGGGAAATAGACCTATGACACCAGCCTAGAGAAGCAGTATCTGGCTCCTGCCACTCCTGCTGCAGAGGACTGGGCTTTCCATCTGCACTGAACTGGCAGTGGAAAGGGGTCTTGCAGTGTCTCTGAGCATAAGCTAGTAACCCTCAAGGCTAGAACAGGGTGCAGTGGAAATAGTCTTAAGTGGGAAGGCAACTCCTAAAGCAATCTGAACTCTACCTTCTATGTCATTTTTGTACCTGCTAAATGTAGGGCAAAAGGCAGACTCCCTAAGCTGGAGTCCCTACACATGTCGCTCTGCAGCACAGAACATTGCATTCCTGGCTCGAGGGCTGCATGCTGCTGCTCACAGCAACCCATACGGTGTCAGCTCCTTTTTTACCTTCCCAGTCCAGGTTCTCCCTGGCAGACCTTGCAGGAGGGCAGAGAGCACGATTCCCAGATGCGGTGGGACCAGGGAGCCTGTCTGTTTGGCAATGGATGCCATGGCAGCTGCTCCCTGGGCCTTCATCTTCCAGGACTGGGACTGCAGAGCCTTCTGAGTAATGGTTATCAACTCCTGCATGTACAGTCTGATGCCACCCTGAGTACCTGCATGTCAAACAGAGGAAAACCGTCATTTTGCCACAAAAGAAAAAAATTATCGTATTTTAAAAAAGGAAAAACAAAGAAGCAAAAACAGAAAAAAAGAAAACAAACAGTTACAGATTTATCTTTTTTTTTTTGGCCATGAAAGCCTTACTTCAGGCAAAGGGGTGAAGAATTCTTCCCAGGCTGACTGAAGATGAGTTCTCTTTTCCAGGTGCTTCCAAAGAAAATCTTTAGCCTATATCTGTGGCAGACACTAGATGTTCTGGTAGCCTGTTTCTAAGGAATTTTTTTTTTCCCCCCAAGAACAAGTCACTGGAAAACCTTTTTGCAGCTCCTTTCCCAAACTCCAGAAAAGTAATCTGGTGACTGAGAGCAGATCCGAAATCAAGCCAGAGAAGGAGCCAGCAAAACCATCTCACCATGCATCCAAATCTTCCTCTACAGACAGAAAGCACGGCAAAAGAGCCCTTCTATACCTCAGATTCATTCACTGAAATTGAAACCACAGGCATCACCAGAGAGACCTCCAACCCAAGACACAAGCCAAAGTCCCCTGTAACTTCAGAGTGTGCAGCAGCCTTTAAAGGCTGGCATCAAAACTTCCAAAGATGTCCAGCTATCTGTGCCACAACCAAGGTCATATTAGAGTGGCACTCAGTGACTCAAAATCTTGAAAACATTTCTGACTATATCTGTGTATCCTCAGCAATTAACACCTCTGTAATTATTTTAAATAGCCACAGAGGAGCTAACCTGCTGAAATTCATACAGAACATCTCAAGCAAGGGAGAAAATGGAAACAAGCTTCCCAAATTTCTTTCCATGAGAAGTCTGTATTTCCAAAACAGATTTCCAGTAAGCATGGTATTTTTTGCCTGATGCCTCCCAGAAAGCTTTTACCACTCTTAATGCAACTTACCAGGTACATTTTCCTGCCAAACTTCAGTCCACAGAGTAGAATTCTCTTTCTCTCCTTTCTCTTCACTGGGAACCTCGTGCATGCCAAGAAAAGCCAAGGGCAGCACGTGTTTGGCATGGTTCTTCACTACGTCTGGACTGTAGCGTCCCACGGCATGCACAGTTAAAGCACAGCCTGTTCTGTAAACTGGCTCTGAAGGAGCAAAACAATCACATGTTATGACTGGGAAGCACGATTTTCCTTTAACAGCTTGGTCCGCCTCTGGGGAAGCAGAGGAATGCACAGTATTGTATAATAATGCATGGGAATGATTCAGCCAGTGAAACCAAGCATCACAATATAGAAATGTTTCTTTAGCAGCTTTTGCTATCACCAGGAATTTTCTCTGCACTGTATTCTGTAACTGAACGTCCCAAAAGCAACATACCTTCCTTCTCCATGTACCAACTGCTGAGTTTGTAAAGCAGCTTCTCAGTGCTACTGTCCCGGGAAGTCTGTAACAGGGAAGAGACTCAAATCACTCAAACATTAAAAAAACCCAAACAACAAAACCAATAACAGAAAAGCAAAATAAAACCTAAAACCATTTCAAGTCCCAACTCACCCGGACTAGATGCCCCATAGCAAAGGCAAAAGACTTCTGTACCACGCTGTTGCGGTCAGTCAGGCCACTAAGCAAAGCACTCATAAGTTTGCCTGTTGGAAGAGACTTCATTTTTATCAGAAATAACACATTTTTCTTGCTGTGGCAAGAATTACAAGAGCCTGCATTTCATTAGACTGTCTGAATTCATGCACTGTTCCTCACTGCATGTTTGCTGGGTTATAGGTCTGCCTGGTCCTTAGGTTAAAACAAGTGGGAAGTGTAACACAGCAAGGCTCAGTGGGAGCTGGTGTTTTGCCAGCCTCAGCCTGCACACCTTGACTGATAATGTTCTTGTGATGTGAGCACCCCAGCTGATCATGCTTTCAGCTTTGTTTCTATTTTGCAACAGAAAGGTGACCTTCTTTCTACTATCAAATCACAATAAACTGTAAATAGAAGATGAAGACCCAAGGAAGCAAAGTCCCTGTTTATGATACTCCCATAGCTCAAGTTGAAGGAACAAGAGCTTATCAACAGAGCTGTCACTAACACTGGCATCGTTAGTCTGCTCCAAGAAATTCTAGAGGTATTTCTGTCTTTTCCTGCCAAATTCCCTCAACTCCTTGCTCTGCCTCTTCCAACCTGGTGAGCTACTTAACATGCCCAAGACCTAGCTCCAGCATGCCAGTCTCACATGGACAAGGCAACTTCAAACAGCTCTCTGAGGAAAATACACGCATAAAGATCATTCTTGTGGTAAAATCAAGGGCCAATAAGGATGAAATACCACCTACAGAACAGCAATAAAAAGCACCTTTAAGACCTGATACTAGAAACAAATCTTACCTGAATAAGGTGTTAAGTCCTGAGGACACTGTGTGGTTAACGACACAATTACACTGGCACAGCCTCCCTGGAAGATTTCAAGGGAAAAATAAAGGTTAAGACTAAAAAAAAATTAGCCCCTGTTTATTACTGTTAATACTTGCTGTGGTGCTATATGCAATTGTATGACATGATCTAGGCTCACCGAGCCTCTGCCCTGATAAGCCAGAAGCCAAGGGCAGAAGCAGAAAAACAGCTGATAACAAATGAATGACTAGAATTGAATTAGGAAGTGAAAAAGTTACCAGGACCCACACTCAGGATAGATGGTCCTGGAAGATTTACAGCTATCAAGGACAACTTTCTGCATTCAAGTGTCACAGAGCAAAACAGCCATGTAGCTTAGAGGAGGTTAAGGCAGCATACATCCAGAAAACCACAAGTAATGTAGGTGGATTAAAACCTCAGAGGTAAAATGACTCCAGTGTGAATGAGCCCAAGCTGTCTCTTTTAAAGAGACAATCAAAAGAACAGTATTTATGTTGCAACTGCACTGTGTTCCCTGCTCCATTTCCAAATGAACTATTAAAATCACAGACATACCTTTGTGCCAAGGCCTACTCCACTTTTGACTAGTTCACACAGCCGAGGAACCAGCTCACCCAGGACGGACACATCCAAATACTGCAAGCTCTAGAGAAAGGCAAGGGACAGGGGTGGGAGAGATGAAAAAAGAAAGGTACTGGTGGCAGATGTAAGCTGGTTGAGTTCCAGCTGAGGCCTGCCTCAGTTCTGCAGGCTGGCCTTCAGCTGAACCATGAGAGTTTGCTGCATGGTGGGAAAAAGGCACCACAAAGTGGTTACCACCACATACGCATCCTCTCGTCCTACTTCTGTGCTGAGCTGACCCTGCTAAACTTATCGTTTGCTGGAACTGGTGTGCGCTCCTGCACTCCAGCTGTTTGGAAAGCTGAAAGCTGTTGTTATTATACCAATAACAACTCATTTTGAGGAGTGAAAGGGATGTAAAGATGTGCATATCTTAGCACAAAACCCAACATTCCCCCAACTGTCTGAAACCCCAAAGCAATTAACAGGTCCAAACTAGACAATGAAATGGAAATAGTGAAGACAGTTTTTAAACAGGTCAAGACAAACAAGTAGAATAAATTACATAAAGGCAAAAGAGATGTTATTGGTATAATTCCTAATCTCCTATGCATAAAAAGCCACTGGGCAAAACAGAAACCCTCATGTTTCCGTCACTCTGTGTAGCACATTGTCTGCAGAGGGGAGATCCATGCTCTAACAAATTAAAGGATTGCATACTAACTGAAGGTAACCCTCTCTGAGCTTCAGAAGTTAGATCTGCTGTCACTTCCCACTCCTGTACTGGTATTGTGAAAGGAATAATCCATTATATCCCATCCAAGGATATAACCTCCCAGCTAGCCCCAGATTATAGAAGAATAAAGAGAAGGTTGTTGCTCATAAACCAAGAACATCTTCATGCTACTCCAGGGACGCCAGACTATCTCTCCCCTCCCTTAGGAAATCCCAAGCATTGGTCAGAGCTGCACCACTGTCCCCCCAGGGCTGGCAGGCGAGAGGCATGGCCTGGAGGGACAGCAGCAG